AAACGTTTTCTCGAGCAGCGGGTCCTCAGATGTGCAAAGATGCGACCACGAGAAAGCCGGCACAAAAATTGCTGTGCATGTTCAGCACGTTTTCAATAAAGGACACAGTCAGGTTCTTATGCGAACGGTGGACGCGGACATTGTTGTAATAATGATTGGCCTCTTCAACGAATTGTTATCTTTACATCCCTCTGCCAATGTCTGGATAAGTTTGGGTTTGGGAAAGCACTTCCGGCTTATAAGTGTCAAGGCCATTTGTACATGTCTTGGTCCTGATACATCTCAAGCAATGTCCCTGTTTCATTCTCTTACTCTTTTACTGGTTGTGAGACCACATCTTGGTTCAAGGGCAACGGAAAGAGATCCGCTTGGGAAGCTTGGAAGTCATATCGGGAGGTTACAGATGCGTTCTTCTATCTTGCTGATAACCCATATTACCACTTGGACACGGAGGACCCCAACTTTAAGCTGTTTAAGCGGCTTACTCTGGTTCTCTATGACAAGACAGGCAATGCAAACTCCGTTAATGAAGCAAGAAAAGAAATGTTCAGCAATATAATAAGAACAGGACCCTGGAGAATATACCACACACACAGGTAAAATGTAATAATCCAATATCTTTAGTTTTTTCAGCGAGAAAAATAACGGATATGAAAATCTAAGCCCCCTCCTCATAGACATTTTACATTTTGCATCTTACTTTTTATGATTCCATTTACATTTGACATCCGGGTAGTACCAATAAAGTTGTTTGTGTGCATTATAAGAGTCCTTGCTACAACACGTTTTGAGATCAATATACCAGAGCACTATCTGATACACAAGCCTGCCGTCGTTCAAATAGTGCCTTCGCCAGATGGATGGGGCTTGTGTGAGATCGATAACATTTGGAAACCTCTCTGGACCTCGCTCCCAAAGCATGAAAAGCCTGTCTCGAGCTTCTGAAATGTGGCTGCAAACAAGGGTGTTCTGGCAGATGTATAGTGAGCGAAAGCCAATCTACCTTGTGCAAGCTTATGTCCATGTTTTGGAGAATGCTTCAACTCTCAAGATATATGGTACAACACTTTGAAATGTATATAGACTAAAACGAACTGTCTAAGTTATAAATCAACTATTTGAATGCCATATTTCTGGTACAATAAGGCTAAATAACGTATATCAATTTTGTAATCTATACATTACATCGTAAACTATCCTTATTTGTATGCAGTGGCATTTCAAAAACACCTCAAATTCCTACCGTATCCCAGTCTACAAAGCTTATTTTTATTATGTCAATTGTAATAAGCCTTCCCCGGGAAAACAAAAGTGAACTCAGAAGTATTATCTGTCTTTTATACATCGAGTTCATTAAATTTGCTGGTAATATTTTAAAGCACATGCCACTAACTGTAAGTGCCTTAAGTCTTCAGTGATGTAATAATGTTTTCCTTTATCCTCCGTCTATTAAAAAGTGACATTTTAGTTAATGATTAAAAAAAAAACGTGCAAAATGTCGTATTAAACTCGGTTATTGCTTTGGAAACCATCCAAAGATGTTTTATTTTAGTAACACTTAAACGAATATTAGTCAACAAAAAGCAAGTAAATGTAAATTTCAAACTTACAAAAGGTGCTGAAATTGAAATGCTTGTCTTGCCCCCCCCCCTTCCCCGGATAATCGGATCATTTGGTACCCCTTCTAAATTTGTTTTCGATACCCTAAAGAGCATCTGCGTCAAATTTGGTGCTTTCTTCCAGTCTCAGTAACGATGTTTCCTTCAAACCAAAGTACTGCTACCGATGCGTGTATTTATTTCCTGTCAGAAATAAATGCGCTCCGATAATCGCATGTTAACAAGGCAAAGCTTTCCAGCCCACTCAACTGGAAAAGTCAACAGAGTAGGAGACCGTCGACTAAAGTAAAGGCTACGGACAGTTAACGAACTTGCTCTCCGTTTTATTGGCGGCCTGTGAACGAACAACATGAAGAGTCTGGGAACGACCCGCAACCCTGACACGATTCAAGACATGATACCGACTTGTTGTTGTGGTATGCAAACACTTTTTATTTAGGAAATTTTGGTTTCTACATTGATTTTTGCCGCTTTCTAGAATGAATAACACGTTAAATATATATCTAAGAAAACTTTGGCCAGAGGAATGACCTAGAAGTTCATCGTTTAAGACAACTCAGGGTGAAGGTGAGATAGTTTGCAGTTTCCTGTTTGATGAGGTTTGGGTTTCATGATTTGATATCTCGACGGTGCCATCATGAACTCAAGTGATGCTTTCCTTCATCATTCCTTGAAGGCTTTGAGAATATTTAGGAAAGTAATTTTGCACTAGTCACTGGCACATTGTACAGTGTACTGCAACGAGAGCATAATTAGTTTGTGTACTTATAATATTTCGTCTTGAATATTGGCAATTCACCAATTTTGCGGCCGCTATGTTCACTTGAAGTGTTTTAAAACAATAGGTATTTTTATTTCTTTAATTTCATATTTGCTGAGGAAAAAAGACTCCTAAAAGTCTTCCTGTTGAATGTTACTTGACAAAAGCATTCAAAATAATTGCTTGTCATTCTGTGGTTGCAATATTTTATAGTCTACAGTTTACAGTCTTTGATTAATTTGATGAGCTTGTAAGCTTAAAACTCAAGTTAAAAAACTAGGTTTTAGATAGCTTCCTGTGAAAATATTGGAAACCAAAAAAAACAACAACAACAACAACAAAATTGAAATTCAGGGTAAGATGATTTCAACTGAGGTCGAATCTCCATTCACTTTGTTTCTTTGATTAATACAGCTGTATATCTTTCGTAAAATTTATACATGTATAATTTTTATACTGTACATCCAGTTACACATGCATCCATGCACATGTCCTCAGTCCAGTGATTTTTTTTACACAATAAATTTTTCCTTCTTTTTTTTCGTCCTAGACTATGTGCTCCTTCTCATGGAGGGCAGTCTTGCAAGGGCTAAATACAGTTTCCAATCCAGCAGTCCAGATGAATTATCTGTACCCGAGGGAAGTATCATAACAGTAACTCAATACATTAACAATCACTGGTTAGAGGCTGAATACAAAGGCAAAAGAGGATATTTTCCTATAATCTATGCTGAAAGGATAAGAAATGAGTCACAACTCCATACTGAACAGAACGCTATTTTCTCGGTACCATGTTTAAATGGAGGAGAACTTTCAGAAAGTGTAATATCTGATAACTTTCATCATCAGGATTACTCTTCAGGAAAACAAGTTTCTCGTAGCGGTGGTGAAAATGTTGTTGAGGCTGCATTTGGGTTTGATGCCAGAAATGACACTGAACTGACATTTCCTTCTGGGGCTCTGCTTGAAGTTACTAAAGATGTTGATGATGATTGGTTAGAAGGATCATTCAATGGATTTTTCCCCCCCCCCCCCCGGATAATCGGATCATTTGGTACCCCTTCTAAATTTGTTTTCGATAAAGAACATCTGCGTCAAATTTGGTGCTTTCTTCCAGTCTCAGTAACGATATTTCCTTCAAACCAAAGCACTGCTACCGATGCGTGTATTTATTTCCTGTCAAAAATAAATGCGTTCCGATAATCGCATGTTAACAAGGTAAAGCTTTCAGCCCACTCAACTGGAAAAGTCAACAGAGTAGGAGACCGTCGACTAAAGTAAAGGCTACGGACAGTTAACGAACTTGCTCTCCGTTTTATTGGGTTGCCTGTGAACGAACAACATGAAGAGTCTGGGAACGACCCGCAACCCTGACATGATTCAAGACATGATACCGACTTGTTGTTGTGGTATGCAAACACTTTTTATCTAGGAAATTTTGGTTTCTACATTGATTTTTGCCGCTTTCTAGGATGAATAACACGTTAAATATATATCTAAGAAAACTTTGGCCCGAGGAATGACCTAGAAGTTCATCGTTTAAGCCAACTCAGGGTGAAGGTGAGATAGTTTGCAGTTTCCTGTTCGATGAGGTTTGGGTTTCATGATTTGATATCTTGACGGTGCCATCATGAACTCAAGTGATGCTTTCCTTCATCATTCCTTGAAGGCTTTGAGAATGTTTAGGAAAGTAATTTTGCACTAGTCACTGGCACATTGTACAGTGTACTGCAACGACAGCATAATTAGTTTGTGTACTTAATAATATTTCGTCTTGAATGTTGGCAATTCACCAATTTTGCGGCCGCTATGTTCTTAAACACTTGAAGTGTTTTAACACAATAGGTATTTTTATTTCTTTAATTTTATATTTGCTAAGGAAAAAAGACTCCTAAAAGTCTTCCTGTTGAATGTTACTTGACAAAAGCATTCAAAATAATTGCTTGTCATTCTGTGGTTGCAGTATTTTATAGTCTACAGTTTACAGTCTTTGATTAATTTGATGAGCTTGTAAGCTTAAAACTCAAGTTAAAAAACTAGGTTTTAGATAGCTTCCTGTGAAAATATTGGAAACCAAAAAAAAACAACAACAACAACAAAATTGAAATTCAGGGTAAGATGATTTCAACTGAGGTCGAATCTCCATTCACTTTGTTTCTTTCATTAGTACAGCTGTATATCTTTCTTAAAATTTATACATGTATAATTTTATACTGTACATCCGGTTACACATGCATCCATGCACATGTCCTCAGTCCAGTGATTTTTTTTTAAACAATAAATTTTGCCTTTTTTTTTTCCTCCTAGACTATGTGCGCCTTCTCATGGAGGGCAGTCTTGCAAGGGCTAAATACAGTTTCCAATCCAGCAGTCCAGATGAATTATCTGTACCCGAGGGAAGTATCATAACAGTAACACAATACATTAACAATCACTGGTTAGAGGCTGAATACAAAGGCAAAAGAGGATATTTTCCTATAATCTATGCTGAAAGGATAACAAATGATTCACAACTCCATACTGAACAGAACGCTATTTTCTCGGTACCATGTTTAAATGGAGAAGAACTTCCAGAAAGTGTAATATCTGATAACTTTCATCATCAGGATTACTCTTCAGGAAAACAAGTTTCTCATAGCAGTAGTGAAAATGTTGTTGAGGCTGCATTTGGGTTTGATGCCAGAAATGACACTGAACTGACATTTCCTTCTGGGGCTCTGCTTGAAGTTACTAAAGATGTTGATGATGATTGGTTAGAAGGATCATTCAATGGANCAGTAGTGAAAATGTTGTTGAGGCTGCATTTGGGTTTGATGCCAGAAATGACACTGAACTGACATTTCCTTCTGGGGCTCTGCTTGAAGTTACTAAAGATGTTGATGATGATTGGTTAGAAGGATCATTCAATGGAAGGACTGGTCTTTTTCCAAAAAGCTATGTCAAGTCATCAAAGAGACCATGCGCGCGCGCATTGTATCCTTTTGTTGGGGAAAGCATGGGCGAGCTCACATTTCGTGAAGGCGACTGCATATTTCTTCACAAACGATTAAATTCACAATGGATGGAAGGAGAAATAGATGGGAATGTAGGAATTTTTCCATCAAGCTTTGTCATAGTTGAAGTTGAATTGCCACCTGACAAAGATGAATTTCTAAATGGTGATTTTTCTCCCAAGAATTCAAGTCCAAAACGTGGCAGCCATATTAATACTGCAACGGCTAAGATTCAGTGGAAAGTAGGAATGAAAGGTAGAGCACTGTTTCACTTTTCAGCATTGTATTCAGGAGATTTAGAGTTAAATGAGGGAGATGTTGTTACAGTTCTTCATGTGGATGGTGACAATTGGATAGAGGGTCAGCTAGCTAATCGCATATCTGGATCATGCCCTGCAGCATACCTGGAGCCTGTAATCAGTAAAAGCAATTCACCCGAAAATCACTGGAATTTCAAGACTCGAAAATTTACATCTTGGGAAGATTTTTCTGGTTCTCCTCACGTTATGTCTAATTCTGTTAATACTAGTGAAATGTCAAAAAGTTCCAGTCAAGTTTCATTTAGTCAACAGGGTTATGATATTTTTGACCCTTTGACGAAAGCAGAATACAGTGACAGGTCTCTTTTGGACTCATCATTTACACAGGATCTAACTCCTATACTTATGCCTTGGAATAAGTCAGCTCAGGAGTCTAAAGAGGTTGGAAAAACTGAATTTTTGGTGAAACAACCAGCACCCAAGTCCAGGACTCTAGAAAGATATTCTGTTACTTATTTAGGCAATATGGAGGGAAAAAACCTTTCTATAAAACATGATAAAACCAGCAGCAGTCCTTCTTATTCGGCAGAGTCACTGACATGGGGAACTACACCTCTTAGGAGCAGCTATGCATCAAATTCAAAAGTAGCTAGTGCTTATAATGGGCTGTCTGGTCAGTCCACTGTAATAGATCAAGGTCCATCATTAGAGCCTTATCATCAGGGTTCTGTAGGAACTTGGCCAAGCAAAAGATCAGGGATTCATGCTGGATGCACATCCAGTGTCCAAGGGAACTTTGTTGATGATCTTTTATCAGGTAACTGTACCTCTTTGCCTCCTCCCCTGATACCTGGCCTGCAAGGTGTAATAGATGATGATAACATTGATTCCAGCGCATCTGAGGATTCTCCGATTACACCAAGGAGGCCAGCCCCTCCACCACCCAAACGAAAGGACAGTGGAAATGCTGTACGCAGTAGAACACTACCAGCTAGAAGATCAAAGGACACTGGACAAGGCCACTTCAACTGGGATGCTCTACCATCAGGCAGAGAAGATATGAAAACAACTGTCAATCCTACTGCTTCCCCTAAAGGATCCCCGAAGATGGGAGTGGCAGGTGTTGCAAGGCAGAGGCCACAATCCAAGCCACAATCTTTGGTTGACAAAAATGTAGACACTGATGTTTATGTAGAGAAGGTACATACACTAAATAGTTTGACTACGGTACTTTGGGAAGTTAATGTTTTTGTTAAATAGCTTATTGCTCTGACATTATTTTGAGCCACTGCTTGCTCTTATTCTTTGATTGAAGGCCACATGGTAGCATCTAATTTCATCTGACTGTATCTCCAATGTTCTTGTTAGGGAAAACCCAAGGCTCTGAGGAAAACAAAACTAATTTTTTCTCCTCAGGAGCAGACATGTACGTTATTTTCTTGGAACAATATTGAATAAAGACTAGTGTAATGCAGCAGGAGAGTTCTTGAACTGCAACTGTCAGAACTGTATAAATGTCAGGCTACTATACATTAATTTTACATGTGTATGTAATTGAAATCCTGAAATCCCAGTTGTTCTCAGTGTACCTCAGATGATGATGTCTTAGACCCAAGAACTGGCTCAATTTCTTCACTCTTTATATTGCGCACATACTGTAGGTGAAAAAAAAAATGTATGTGCTCAAGTTTCTAAAATTGAGACATGTACAATTTTAATCATGGTGGAACATTTAATACATATACATATTTTTTTCTAAATTATTATAATGATTTTAGAGTCCTCGCAGGCCAAGACATTCAAGCAGCCTAGAGCAGATAAGACAGTCCCCAAGTCAAAGCACTGTAGCTGCAGTTATTGATAGTGATGCTCATGGTGCTGAATGGGCTGGAAACAAGGGTATGTACCATGTATAACTTCTGCCCACTCTACAGTTCCTAGTTTTTTTAAATGAAGAGACTCCATGTTGCCATGTGTCTGTTCAGTAATAGATCATGGATGACATCACGGCTTTCATGGAATCTAAATTCATTTTATACAAAGTCACCAAAAGACAAAACAATGACATGTACTTGCCTTGTACCTCACCTCATAATGTTTTTTCTTTTGAGGCCTTAACCTGCTTAATCCAAAATAATGATACCGGTAGACAATTTGTTTTCTTCAGGCTTGGTTGGTGGTGCCTGCTGTGGATTGCCTACCGTCTTTCAGTCTTCCGCAAGATAATCTTAACCCCTTCCCAGTCACTCTTAAAAATATTCGTGGCTAAATCAATACATGTAATTGTGTAAATGTTACTGCTGAGTATGTAACAGTTCACTCTGCTGATATGCATCTTGAATCATTACTGTTGTTAGAAAATTCATTTGATGAAGTTGATGGCCCCAGATTAGCTTCCCTGCAGAAAAGGATCAAAGAAACAGAACAAAATCTTAAGGTAAGTATCATCTGCCAATTAAGAAAGTTCTTACGGACATGCTGATGTATATATACATGTAGAAAATTGGTAGTGAAGGGCAGTTTTTACATATTCACCATGGCCCTGGGAAAAAAGAGAAGTTCAGAGATCATATTGACCCCACACAGCATCTTTTTTCAATGCTGCGTGAGGTAATTAAGTGAATATGTGATCCTCACAGTTGAATAATTAACAACCTAACGGTTGAAACAGAACCTAAAAAAATTCAGGCTTGACCTGGAATCATTCCTGACCATGACTTTGAGATGACATGATGCAATGTTCTATAAAATGACCTGTAAATGCAACACTACTTGCAGTGTTCAAGGTAGTGTATGAGGTATTTCCTTGACAATCTGTGGTTACAATGTACCAATCTCATACTTTACAGAAAGAGATGAATGTACATACTGGATTCAAGTCTATTGCTCAGGTATTGATTGTTTAGAAAATTTGCTGATGTATGGCCTACAAACTCTGTATTACTGTTAATGTTATAATTTAGTTTTTAATCCTTAGTTGAATCTTTAGTTTCCACTCATGACATGTAGCAAAATGAGAAAAACCTAGGAATAATTAAACTTAGCCTGTTCCAGGTATACAGGTGGTAGGGATGGTGCAACAAGAAGTGACCTGGATAAAAGAGCCAGAGGGTTGTGTTTGGGGGTGGGGAGTGGGGGGGCCTTCACTTCACCCCACTCTCCACTATCTGAATGCCTTGAACAGGTAAAAAAAAAAAGTTGAACCAAAAGAAAAACTCATCATACAACAGACACAACTTGACGGGGAGTTCAGGCTCTGGTTTTGGAGTATAATTTGTGCTGGATTTTGGGTGGGTTTTCAAAGGAGTTATTAGGGACCTTAAGATCCGAGGACGGTGATGGCGGAGAAAGCGTCGCTGAAAAAGTGAATTCTTGTTCTTTCAATCTTCATCGCAATTACCCCAAGTCACTAACTTTGTCAAATGTAGGCGAACCCTTCTAAAGTCGAATTCCTAAGAACCATATCCAAGTTCAGAAGGAGAGAGGAAATTTCATCGTTGCTTGTGTACTTCCTCTGTACAACGTGAAATTAGGCATTTTCGCATCGTAGTCGTGCAGTGACGGCAAAAAAATGTAGAATAAAGCGTGATGCATGTGCAAAATTGTTATTTTGCTAATTAAACCTATTGTTTAAGTGGCGTTCCCGTTGCCGTCGCCGTCGTCGGATCTTAAGCTCCCTATTACCCAGTCTAGGACTCCCTTACATAAACTCTCTGTCATTATGGTGGTGGATTTCATGGGTAAGATCCTAGAACCCCTACAATTGCTTATTGTCATGTACACTGTGTTTTCTGCGGAGCTCAGCCTTTATTTCAGTCAATTCTATGCTCAATGCAAGTGCCAAGACAGCTTCAAATTGCATATTAATTTACGTGCCACCACTTTAAGAATTATTTTTTTTCCTTTTTTTTTATGTCTTATCAGTAGTTAGTGCTACATTAGAAATTGCCTTTTCCTTGAATTTTTCATTGCAATGTCAATTAATGATTTTAGTTAGTGATGATGGATCCTGTAAAGCAGAGGGAAATGGAAGTCAAAGTGTCACAGAGTCAACAGAAGATCAATGAATGGCATGAGGAATTACAACTTCTGCAAGGTTTTGTCCTGTGTTGTTGTTTTCTTATTAATTGATAGCGAAGTGCGCGCAGTGGAGCACCATGGGTAAGAAAATGTGGTTATCTATGCATTCAAGGAATTTTGGTTCTGACAAAATCATCTGTATGTACGTACCTCTACTCCTTCATGTAAGCAGGTGTGAAATGGCACACTTACTAGCTAGGAGTCCAAGGCATATATTCTCTTTGCTTAGCTTGGTGTTGCATCCATGATTGTTAGTCAATTGAAAGCTGTCAGAAAAGATTATCCACTGACCAGTGTCACATGACTGTATCGAGGGCTTAGGTATACAACTCTGAAGTGGCATTTTTTAAAGTTATTTCCACTGACTAGTTTTTGGTTTCAATTGATCGCGGGCTAAGCTCCATTTTTTTTAAAAGGAAGAATACAGTTAGCCTTTTGTTTCTGGCAAAAGTTGAATTACTTAAGAAAGACATTTCTTAAAATATTATTACGTGCCTCTTAAAATGGCTTTTAATCAACGGAACATAATGTAAGAACTGAAATATTTTTATGGTGAAAAGAATTACTTGGCCTTATACTTTTGATGCAAGAATCGAAGAGAAAGAAGACCCTAGAAATGATGAGGTTGAAGCTTCGTTTTACTGGGTCACTCATTTCACAAGATTTGCATGACCACTTTTTTTTAAAACTCATTTTAAAGACCTCACCTGTCAGAAATTTTTAGTTCCAGCCGGATATGTTGAAATGGCAAAAAAAATGTTAGATAGTCATAAAATGCATCCTCGGAGACCCAGGGGCAGATAGTGGGTGCGAGGGAAAGTCTAAACGGGTGGAAAAATATGGCACGAAGAAGAAGAGTAAAGAACGGCGAGTGGAGCCCCTGCGGACAATGTCTTACCAGACCAATTCCAAATGGTTGCCGCTGTTCTGGCGTTCTGCCGTTGGGCAGAAAAAGACAAAAGTTTTCTGGCACCAATCAGAAGCCAGGACGGTAGCGACCGTTTGGAACTGGTCTGGTAAGACATTGTCCCCAGGGGCTTTTCTCGTCGTTCTTTACTTTTCTTTGTGTCATATTTTTCCGCCCGTTTAGACTTTCCCTCACCCCCACTATCTGCCCCTGGGTCTCCGAGGATGCATAAAATGTAAGGTCAACCATTAATATTGAAACAAAGACAAAACCGTTACATGCACATCCATGTCTATGTTTGATTCAGTTAGAAGATGGCTTGCCTAAGACTTCGCTCATTCTTGCTCAATAGAAAGATCTACGTGTGCCGGACGACCGGACGGGGTGTTATTCGAGCTCTGCCCTAACCAGTACTTTTCATTTCAGATGAGAAAGTCTTTATGATAGAGTCGCATCGGAAAAAGATGTTGAGGAACAAAATAGCTGCTCTTGAGACTGACCTGCAGGTGCAGATTCATATACTTTGCTGTTTGAATGTTTTCAACTAGTTGTATCTTTAGTGGCTTTCGCGTCGACTTTAAGTTAGCTCACGATGGTACTTGTTTTTTTGATGTCCCAGTTGGCCAAATTCCAAACAGTTAGAGTTGGACAGTTATGTGGTACCTCCATTTTTACATATGGAGCATACTTTTTCTTACTATAGTTACCTTTTTTTCTTTGATTTAGAAACAAGCCAGAAGTCAGAGAAGTCTTGAAATGTTGCTTGGTGTTGTAGAGGAGAACAGAAAGAAAGAAGTCATGGAGAATCTTGGAGTTTGTGCAAAATTAGTGGAAAAAATCAAAACTGAACTTGCTGGATTAGAGGGTATTTATTACGATACTGTGAAATGCGTGACTGTAATCTAAGTGCATCTAAGTACTTGCATTTGTGGTAAAATTGTAGATTTTCATCCCAGATTCACGGTGTATTGATTTAACAAAGGTGCTATCACAATTTGAAGTTAGTTTTGGTGCATTCCAGAATTGCTTTCAGTTTCATTTTCTGATCCGAGTTCGTCCAATCCAAGTGTGAGCCAGATCCTTGCCGATTTAAGACCAAAATAACTGATTTGACCAGAAGTATTGATATAAAATTCTTTATGGCAGGCTAACTGCATTGCTTGACTAGACATATTCCACCTCGTAGCTTCGTAGTGGTACCTACCCAGATACGTTGTACATAAGAGTAACACCTCCACCGCGGGGTTAAATGTGTTTTTGGGAGGGGGTACAACGGGTGGGAGTAATGCAGCACATCCATATAGTTGAATTTCCCTTCGTACACCTCCATTATAATTTGTGGTAACCTCTCTATTTCGGACAGTTTTTCTTGCTTGTTTCGTATCGACGCTAACCGAGTAGGATTACGTATTTAGGTTTGTTCATCAGTCATCTACTGTGCAACCATTAATTCAAATTTTTGTTCGTGTTCAGCTTCTTTGCAGTGCTTAACAGAAAAGCCAGCTGTATCCAATCAAAAACACATGGCTGAGCAGCGACAGAGAGTTGTGAATGAACTGATCAATACAGAGAAAGACTACTGTAATGACCTAGACCTTTGTGTTAAATACTTCCTTCATGAACTTCAAACGATACAGGTTGGTTTCCTCTAGCATTCAGTTCTGCTTGTCCATGATTAAAGTTTTTGTTTTTTTTTAGATTTTTGAGTTTACTCGTTCACGTCGTAAAAAATCGAATTCATTACAGCACAAGCTAGAAGGGGGCTTTAAAAATATATCGGTGGGGGAGGGGGGAGGGTATAGCCGGATGTATTTAATTTGTTAACAGGTAGCTGGGCCTATGACTAAGCCGGCGGGCGGGCGGGACTTGTAAGTAGGCGGGGAAAGGTTACCAGCGGAAGGGTACGATGGGAGGGAAAAGAAATAGTAGGAACACACTAAAATAAACTCCGTTCTTCAAACACCATGCAGTTACAGAGCGAATATACCATCTTTTTTTTTTTCATTTTTGTGAGATAGTAGTATAGAAAAAAAAGTAATCTATAGATGAGTATAGAGTGGTGGAGGGGTAGAAAAGAGTTGTTGGGGGGGGGGGGGGGGGGATGTGTGGTTAGTTCTTTTTGTTTTGGACGGGGGTGTGTGCTGTGGGAAGGGGGGGGGGGGGGGGGGGCGCTTGTAAGTAGCCGGGGAAAGCTTACAAGCGGAAGTTTACGATGGTCAGGAAAAGACATTGTAAGAACAACATAAATTCAACTCCGCTCTGAAAGCAGCATGCCGTTGCAGCTGTAATTTACTTTCGGAAGGCCTGGAAAAATGCCGTACAGGGACTAGGCAAGGCCAAGTGCAGAATGCCAAGCCATTCCTCACTTAGTCTCCGCCTATATCCTATTATGATCTGCCTCCCCATAAGCAAACCATTTTTTTGATTTTTCTTTTGGTTTGGCTCTGTTTTACTTGTTTGTTTGTCTGTAGATGAATCTGTGTTTCTGTTTCGTGCAGGTAAAGGATCTCGATTGTGAAGCTTTGTTTGGAAACATTGAAAGTGTTCTGGAGACATCACGGAAACTGTTGAAAGGCTTACAAAATGCCGTTCAAACCAAGGAGGGGAAAGACCAGGAACTTGGTAAATATGACTCAGAAATGAACGCATTATATATGGCTAAAGCGTATCTTTGGGTTAAATGTAGTCAGTTTGCAAACACTGCAACATATTTCACATTTTACTGTGGTTTAAGAAATTTGTTTGGTTAGAAGCTGTACAAACTGTTAATATTTCCATTTTATTTGCCTCAGATTTACAACTATAAACTTAGACAAAGAAAAGCAAAAATCGACGAGCCTTGATGGATAATTTCTTTGTCTTCATATAGTCACAATACTGCTTGTTTAGGTACTAGAGAAGGATTGTTCATGAAGTGATTGTAACAGTTGGGAGATAAAAAGTTAAGCCTACAGCAATGTACAAATTCATCAATGTTTTTAATGGCTGCTTAAAAAAATTTTATTTCCCCAGGAAAGTGCTTTGTAGACTTGTCTGAAGAAATCAAGGATGTATATGCTGTATACTGTAGGAACCACGATGATGCTATTTCGCTGATGGAAAAGGTGACATTGATATATGATATGCAAACAGAACTTACGAAAGATCGATACTTACAAGATTTTCCAAACATGGAAAAGTAGCGATTTGACCGATCTACGTAAAGTGTAACCAAGGTTAAGAAAGTTATGGAAAGAGGATTTTTTTCTATCACTCTCTAGTGAACTTTGTGAAGTAAGAGATTGCCATTTCCTTTTTTTCTGTATTTATTGTATTTTGTTTATATTTGCAGTACGAAGAAATGCCTGAAATACAGGATGAAATATTAAAATGTTTAGAAAAAATAAGGTAAATGATGTCTAATTATTATGTGTTGTAGTCGAGTGATTTGCACACTTGCCACTGTTTCAATACTTCCAGTGGTTTTGAATTGTTTGATGTGTCGTTGTACAAAAGTTGTTGACCCGGTTGGCTTAAAGACCATCCAAGCTGCTGTATCTCTCCCGGCTACAGTACAGTATATTAAGGAGGAAATAGGGGATGTATTGGGGAGTTTGGGTGGAAGGAATGAGGTCATGAGAGTTACATCGCCACCGATGACCCATTGAGGACCAGTTGAAGATGTCATTGGTTGACGTCACAAGTTTGGTCACTGGCGTATGGGAACGCTTCGGTGGCGGTGGCATTCGAACATTGCATTAAGGAGTTTGGAGGGAAGGAAGAGGCCACGGGAGTGACATCACTCATTGATAACGGATAGAGAGCCAATTGAGGATGTCATTTGGTGACGCCACAAGCATGCGCGCTGGCATATGAGAACGCTTAGGTGGCATTCGAGCAGACGTTGTTTGGACAGGGCTTATTTTCTTATCACTAATTACAGTTTCCCCTTGCGATACCATAACCTTTTTTAGTGCTCTTGGTCCCAAAGATACTCAATTTTGCTTCTACCTCTATATCACAGACAGTTCTGCAAGCGACCACTTGTGTCTTTGCCCCGTCTATTTCCCTATCAAGGGGGTAGACTTTTGTAGGTTGGTCCCTTCACAGCGTACAAAAAGGACGCAAAGACTAGAGGACGTCCACCCGTTTTGGAAGGCTAGGAGTCTTTAAACAACGAACTCCTTTAGGCTTCTTCGTGACTATTGTATTTTTTGTGTTAGTTTTATCTTATCTTCCTTTTTTTTTTAGAGAACATACTCGCTGTTGGGACTTGTCATCTTTTCTTATCAAACCCGTACAGAGAGTCCTTAAATACCCGCTCTTGTTAAATGAACTCCTAAAGGTATACTCTTGTTTGTAGTGTAGCATGGTCATGTTTATGTATTTTTATCGAGGCTATTGACATCCTTCTCCATTCTAGTCTGCATGGCAGGCGTTTAAAGGAAAAGGGGGAGAGGTCATTCGGCGGCGTAAGAGTGCAGGCACGCAGGCTATGTTCATTTCCTAGCGCCATTTGCTAATATAACCGCATGTGTGTAGTTGTTTATTCAGTTTGGCCCTTACGAGGGTAGGTGCCCAGCTTTTGATATGAACGAAAATGCCTTTTAGTTTTATCCCTTACAAATAAAACTTAGTTTTACTAACTAAGGTTGCAAGTAACCTCGTTTTGAAAGCCAGGGTTTTAAAACTCCAAAAATAGCCTATTATTTAGATACCTGTATGACTAAATCTATCACTACTATGAGCTACAAACAACTTTTTTTTCATGTGTTCCCTTTTATAGTATACTCCTGAAATACATCGTGATAAGTACAACTTACTGCAAGGGATCACAGTAATGACGGATGTGGCTAATGCAATCAACGAGTTTAAACGGAGAAAGGATCTCGGTAAGTTTGTGTTCGAGTTATAGTATACTGAGTGAATAGCATAGTGTAGCTATTGTTTCACGTGAGACTGATTGATCATTGTAACTTTATGGAAGTGTGTCTTTTACTAGAGTTGGAGACTTACTTGTTTCATAGCAAGGGTAGTCCGGATGGTCGCGTTCCAATTAAGAGGTGTTTTCAAAGCGTCTCCTGTCATGAAGCCTCTTGCTCAGCGATCACCCTTGGCTAACTGGAAATAGATCGTAAAACATTTTGCTTGAATAAAGCACGAGAGAACACAAGACCCAAGGAGACCCACTCTGCTGAGTCTCCCTCGCAGCCGTTTTTGTCTCGTCACGCAAGGCTTCTCCCCAATGTTAGGGAGGAACGTTGCGTGACGAGATAAGAACAGCTGTGAGGGAGACTGACTCGGCCGTAGTCTGAAATGTTACCCGTCTCCACCCTCTAACCTGAGGCAGGGAGGGGTGGGGGCGTCTCCGGATTGGGGGCTAGGACGGCTAAGAATTCAGACTAACACGGTCGAAGTTTGACCTGATTTTTTTATCTGATTCTGATGTCGACTTACGCTCTGCTTTCAACAGTTGTCAAGTACAAAAAAGTTGAAGAGAGTGGTCTTACAAACAAGATACAGAAGCTAAGCTGGCATTCAGTGGTGAAGAAAGGCACTCGAATTAATCAGAAACTAACACAACTTACAGGGCTCGTGGCACAGGTTAATTTACTTACTGATTCGTACTATGTGCTTTTCATCAGTTCTTAAGTGGAGCCAATTAACGTCTTACATCGACTAGTTTTAATTTAGTTTTCGTATGGCTTAGTAACCTCCATATCAATTGGGAAAAAAAATTCTACATTTGTTAAGGTATTCTAGCTTGAAGTGACCGTTAAACCAGATGATAACGTACTCTGTACATACGTTCTGATGTATGGGATCTTCCGATAGTTTGGATTCATTAATTAATTAAATGGAACTAACGCTACAGTAAACTAAAGTGTCATTTTCAAACAACTAAATGTTACGCTGCTAAACAATTGGTTGTTAAGTAGATCATTATAAAGCAATTGTTGAATGACGCTGAGTAGAATAACACCCTTGGAGACTTCACTTGCTTAATCCCTCTCAATCGTTATCTCGATAATATTTTGGCGGAGAAATATTTCCAAATTTTGGGCGGGTAGCTTTTGTGTAAAGCGGATCTAACTTGCTCATAAATCATTGTCTCTCAAGCACCACAAGGAATAGTCTCATCAGAAAGGTTCAAGTTTATTTGGATAAGTACGCTTGATTGTTTTAACATCTGCAGACTGTCGACGAAAAATTCATCGAAGAGGAGAAAAAGTTCCGTGGAGTCGAGAAAACCGTGAAAGCACTTTGGAAAAACGTATCAACTTACTTGGAGGAATTTGAGGTAACTTTGTGAAGTCACAACCTGACCAAAAACTCTTCGCTTATATAGTACGACAAAAAAAATTTTGAGCCATACAAGGGAAGGTTAGAAGTTCTAAGCGAGTATCACTATGTTTCTGACCAGCACTACCTCAAAACTGCATTGATTGTAGCTAATCGCAAACATACGAAAAACTTCAAAATATTTATGATGAATACTAGCATTTTCAACCGTTTTTTATCGCAGGAGACCATGGAGTTCCGCCAGGCTTTAGGGGACAATATTAATGACTTCTACCAAGATGCTGCAACGTGTTCAGAGGTGTCCACTTATTATAGGACACACAAGACGATTGGGGAGACTATTCTAAGCAGATTTGTAAGTTTAAATGATATAATTCTCTATAGCCAACTAATGAACGCATAGACGAGTGAGAGTGCGACCACTGTTGACCTCAAACTCGTCTTCGCAACGACAAGTTGACAGCACTTTGTGAAAAAATGCTGGGAGCGAGGTTGCTCGTACGCTTGCAACCATGGGGCTAATTGGGTCCAGGGTAGAGTGTCCACTTACAGAAGGTCACTCTGACTGGCTCAATCGGAAAAGGCAAAAAAAAGGACAATTAACTAATTTGCGGATTTTTGTCGTGATTTGTTTGAGTGTTCGCTTAAGAGATGTTATTCAGGAGTTAAAGCAAAGACGTTTTTTGAGCGGCGCACATCAACCGGAAGTGGTCTCTTTTGCATTCTTTGGCAGTGGTTTTGCCCATTTTGGCGGCAATTGTCTCTATAAACGTAAAAACACTTAGATGTACACATTTGGTCGCGTCAAGTCATACTAAAAGGAAAAAGGTCTCAGCTTCGGTTAACGTGCGCTGTTCAAAAAGTCTTTGCTTAAACTCCCAATATACCCTCTGGTCCCAGGAAAGAAAACGGTGTCAGCTTTTGCGTAGCCTGCGTAGCAAGTGTTTCCGTGCGGTTTCGGAGCAAAGAACGAGGAACGAGAGTCACAGACCGCGTGAATGAAATGACGAGAGTAAAAGAGCGGGGAGGGGGTGGGGAAGAAAGGTTATCCTTCCTTTCCCCCTCCCCCTTCTTTCAATTTTTTGGCTCTCTTTCCATTTCTCGAACGGCCAATACCGAAAATCCCGTTCCTCGGTCTTTCTTTGCTCCGAAACCGAACGGAAACGCTTGCTACGCAAGCTAGCCTCTGCGTGAGATTACAATACCCAATCTTTCTTTCTTCATGAGTACAAATTATACTCACTTTACAATTCACTACATCAATTGGCGTTCTGTTTCTTTTCATTTAACAGATAGATAGTGTTCAGTTGCAAGTGCTTTCTCCGCTCAATTCCTTGCTCAACTTGTTTCAAGGACCGCAGCGCTTAATTCAAAAGAGAAATGACAAGTGCTTGGACTACGACAGCTGGTCAAACAAGATTGACAAGATAAAGGACAGAGAGAAATTAAAAGTGGTACATATTAGTTGTTGAGAAATCTTTTAATGAGCTAACTCAGTGACGTAATCGTTAAACGTATAGTTTTAGACCGGATAATTGTCCAAACATTTACAGTACAAAGCATCCTGCGTTGAACTTTAGATCAGTGCGTAAAACGTGGACGAGGTTAATGCCTGGTCAAAAAAAATATTTATTATATGACTGAAAAAAGAACTTTTTCTTGCGGGACCCACGCGGGAAGTCCCGAGTGGGCTAGATAGACCCATCTTACTAGGTTAACTCTTGGTCAATAAAAGATTTATTATATGACCAAAAAGAGAACTTTTTCTTGTTGGACCAACGCGGGAAATCCCGAGCGGACAAGATAGACCCATCTTACTCCGCTCAGGTAGCCAATCAGAACGAATGACTGGCGTCATCTTGCCCGCTCGTGGATTCAGCCATGTGATAAAAAGTGATAAGCTTTGACGTTTGTTTTGGTTATTTTGTGTTGTCTTTGTTTTTGACGTTGCTTTTTGGTTTTGTTCTTGCTTTTTTGTTTGTTTGTTTATTTGTGTGTGGGTTTTCTAACTGTTTATGTCCTTGTAAATTTTTAGGCCAAAGAAGAACTGGGGTTTGCCAAGAAAAACTATGAAGCACTGAACACTCAGCTGTTGGAGGAGATCCCTGGTTTTACTGAGAAGTGTATGTCTTTAGTGGTGGACTGTCTCAAGAACTTTGCCATGGCACAGAACCGATTATACTATGAAATTCAACAGGAGTACGAGCAGCTATTACAGGTACCTGTGCTTATTACAGCAATTGGGCTAAGGTGCTTGTTTAGGAAAAAATCGTTGGAACTCGGCCTGTAGCAGCATATATGTGTGAATACAATTAAGAGGGTCCTGAGTGTCGGTTTTGGTAATGGAGGTTTTGCAATGATATTTTCAAAGGAAACGTAATTTTATAGAAAACTGATGGAAACCTCAAGAGTTTATAGCGTAAGGATAGTCGTAAGAGTATGAGACACTAATATCATGGGGTGTAAGCTATTGGAGGCTAATATTATATGGACTTGGCTGTTGATTTACAGTGATTTTGTTACAAATAGTTATGGTGAGTCTTGGGACTCATCTTGTGAAAAATCGTGACTCCCAGTTTAATAATTCAAAAAGAGTCCAAAATTGAAACTGCTTGGGCCTTTATGTAACCAGACAGTTAATCTGAAGACAGACTCCAAAACTCTGTATTAAGTACATGTATACTGAAATTGAAATAATTTATTGTCCTTCTATTTTGAAGCACAACAAAGGCTAAAAGAAATATGCATTGTTAAACGACAGCCATTTACAACTGCCACAGAAATAACGCGAACGGGGCGGATATTTCTACAAATACACATGTTCAGATCGATCGATTAATCGATCTTTGCGTCCCACGGGACGCATCCCCGTGCCATGAATTATTTTGCGCCTTTGGGGATTTTAATGCGTCAGGGACACAGGACGCAGAGGTAACAGAATCACTGGATTATTTTCAAATCCGCAGTCATACAATGTAGGAGTCCTTTGACAAGTAACATTTCACTATTTCAGCTACCAGTTGTACAGACGGTGGAAGGTGACATAATTGAGCACCATAGCAAGAGATCTTTACAAGTGATGGAGCAGTTCTCGGACCTGAGTTTTATACCGTTGAGTTTTGTAGCAAAGGACAGTTCTCGCAGGAAGAGGCGATCGCTGAAAACCCCAACGCAACCTTCAAGAGATCAGGTAAGTCTTGTAGACAGATTTCCATTACGCATTAGGGTTGAAATAGACCAGTTCGTTTATGCCATTGCGAAATACCACCTATCGGTATATTCCAGTCCGAGCAGTATTTAGCATGTTGCTTGAAACTAGGGTACATTTATTTGCAAAATACTGTATGCGTGCGTTTAGCCGTTGCATTTTCCCGCTGAAATATTTTATGGTTTTATCTGCTTAAAACCGCCTCTTGAATTTGCAAATGCTAGTGGCTTTTGTCTAAAGGCTACTTTGGAAAATTCATCGTGTGTGCTACCGTCCTCCGTGAAAAGTCGCATAAAAGAGTTTCACGTTGTACTGATAGTCACCGCAAAGATATGCACCAAGATGCGTCGTGATCTTCCATATATGTTGTTTTGCTTATCAAACCTATCACCTGTTACTCCCTATAACTGTTTTCCCACTGAAGGTGGAGTTGACTATGTACACCATACCTGTGTTTGTTGCTTCTTTCAGGATACCACAGAAGATTATGGGGACAACAAACCCAGCTTGGTGGATTTCAGCGGTGATGAATTTGAAGAGAGAATGCTAAGGAAGCAAAGACAAGCTCCACCCCCTCCCTCCACGATTCTCCAGCCAACGCCTGCCCCACGACGGCTAAGCAGTGCAGCAAGGCCTGTAAGTCTTTAGGGCGCAGTTATTTTAAGGTGTAAGGCAAAAAGTAACTTCTTACCGACATGTTTGTTTTTGTTGTTGTTGTTGGGTGGTGGTGTGGTCAATTAGAACCCCGCTCTGTTATGTTTTCCGCACATATGGTGGAAGTGATTAATTAATAAAGTTTTTGCTCGTTTGTTTTTGAGGCCTTTCATCGTTCTGACCTCAACTGAAAATTTTGTTGGCGAAATCTTGGTACTACTTGCATTCAGGCGTTTACTATTTTAGACTTTTACCAATTAACTGTCTCAGGCAATTTTAACCCCCAAAACTGAAAAAAAAAAAAAAAAAACTTGGAGGACCCTCACTTTTTGTAAGACCCATTTCAAACACAAACAGCATGTGCCAAATTTAGCGGGAAATAAGGAAAATTTATTGTTCTCGCTCATTTGCTTTTGTTCGGCACATGAGGTTTGAAGCTGGTCTAACTAATTCATAAGCGTTTGCGTGCAGACGAGATCAGTTTCCACTGCTTAGGTCTGGGTCTGGCTTTTCACTTAGGCTTGTAGCTCACTTGATGTAGACTCTATAACAATAGGTATAGTAAGAGGTACGGCTGCATGAAAGCTTCCATTTCTCCTTCCACTCCCCCTCGGTTTGTCGTTTGACCTGAGTTTGCGGCTCTCCCTATCTCATACTTAACGAACCACAAACAAGAAACACACAAAAAAGCCGCCTTCTACGCAGGCCATCTTTAGTGTCGTCAGAGAGGTCAAGAAAATTTTTAGACCAACTTTAAATGTGGATTTTCTTTCTCAGGGCAATAGTCATGCAGGTAGCTCGGACATGGTAGAAGTAATTCCGGGCAGAGAAAAGCTCCACATGGTCGAGTTCAGCTTTGAAGCTCAAAGTACAGGAGAATTATCCGTGACTGAAGGAAACCTAGTGTCTGTCCTGCGATACTCAGATACCAGCGGTAACCCTGAGTGGTGGCTAATTCAGTGTAATGGTGCCACTGGTTATGTGCCACAAAGTTACCTTTCTCCGCTGGAAGACGCTGCTGATAGTAGCGAAGGAGGTGCAAGTATTACTGACAATGCCTTCGAAGATGATAGCGTTATTAGCAATGAAACGAGTCAGATGGTGGCTACGGAAACAGATCCGGGAGAGGAATGCAGTGTAGCGTTGACTCGCGAGACTAATCCTAAATCAAGCTATTACGCAGAGTTTGCGTTCGAGGCTAGTAGTGTAGCGGAATTGAATCTTGAAGAGGGACAAGCAGTAGTTGTTTTGCAGAAGCAGGATTTGACGGGCAATGAAGAATGGTGGCTTGTGGAGGCGGATGGACGTAAGGGATACGTACCTTCCAGCTATTTAACACCGGTCGAAGATTAAAAGCGACAGCAAAACAAACAAAGGTTTAGTGGACATCCAATCGCTTCTTCACATGCTAGCCTGGGAAAACAATCCACATTTCGCAGCGACGCTACCACTGATTTCTCTGGCGCAAAATGATGTCTGAGGAACAAGCGCAGAAATTCCATACTGATGACGTGTCACTACCCAAATCTTGTTAGTGCTACCAATTGGTCTTGCCACTAGGGAAATTTGCTTCGACCAATCAGGAGTACTACCCAGATCTGGGTAGTGACACGTCATCAGAGTGTGGAATTCCTGCAGTCATTCTCGCCGAGACGTAGGTTGTTTACAATTTGCAAAAAGTTTCCGGAAAACTCGGTTGGGAAGTAAATGGAACACGCCTCTTTGGATCACTCCGGGAGGAAAACATTTGGGAGCAAAGAAACATCTGAAAAGGTGGCCCTGTTTTTCCGAACGGAATGCTCCAAACGGAAATTTGTGTTCCAGTTCTTCAAAGTGGTTGATACTAGTTACGCGGTTTCTTGGCCATTGTTTGGTAAATGGAACTGATTTGTACAAATGGTAAACGCGATTCCGGGACGAAGCATTAAACCAAAATTCCGGTTTGAAATTTCGGAAATTTCACGTGTCCAATCGAAAGGTATTCCGGTTGCCCAGACCTGGCACAAGCCACCGCGCGTTTGGTTATTGTTCCTGTAAGCAGGATACAAAAGAGCGGTACTGGGGACAACAATTTTGTCAAATAGAATGGGACATTTCGGTCTGACCGACCAGACCGGTCAAACTGGACCACCTTCAAAGCTGGTCCCGAATATCCCGGTCGGACTAAACCGAAACGGTTCGTTCCATTTGATGTACCGCCCGAAATTTCCCGGAATTTTGGGTTGAATGGAAAACGCCCTTGAATTTTTATTACCATTTACCCAAACCGTGAACCGACCAGTTTGCTCATGGAGATGGTAAACAACCGTAGTTTCGCGAGGAAACCATTGATGGCGTCGCGAAATATCGCCTGTTCCTTTGGCTCAGGCTGGTCAGTTAAAGAGACTACAGAATAGAACTATTTTGAATTCCAATCAAACATAATCACAACCGATTGCTCCGCAACTCTCTTTTATTTCTAATAGGGTAGGAAATGCAAAAGTAGTCTTATAGCGCTACCCGAATGTTTTAATAAACACGTATAACTATGTTACTTTTTTTAAGTTTGCTGTTTCGTAACTTGCAATAAGAAATCATTTGAAGCCTTGAGTCTTGCCTCCGCTAGTAGCGGCATGGCTTGCTTCAACGGTGCGCTTTATCTGTGTAGAATTCTATTCATAAATTATTTCATGATGTAGATATCTTTCTCTGTGCTTCTTTTATATGCTTATTTCATGATGTAGATATCAATATGTAGATTTCTTTCTGTGCTACTTTTATATTTTATGCTTAACTGAGGGGCCGTAGGCCGTCTTAAAACTTAAACTGCAACGAGGATTGAGGTGGTAACCTTGATTTCAGTTAAAAAGCAAAGACAATGTTTTAGAGTACAGTAGCTTCCATTTGCACTCAGTGCAGCCGGAATGAATTCTAGCCTGCTAATACATCCGTCTTTCCTCGCTCCTCGCCGCCAGACGTTTCTCCTGGCAAGACGTCCACATTGGCGAGGAGCGAGGACAGACGGCTGTATTAGGAGCTGATTATTTGACTTGTGAGGGGGGTACGGGTGATTTGGTTTGGGTAAAAATTATTTTCCCAAACCTCTGGTGATAGATTTTTCTCTGACATGCAAAGGTGTAACTTTTTTTTTTCAGTATAGGATATTTTTTCCCCAGGTGTTTCCTTGCAATAATTTTTTCCCCTCGAAATCAGTTTGTAGCTAAGGATATTTTTGCGGAAATCACCCATACTAACCCCCTCCCCTCCCCCACCCCACCTCAAAAGTTAAATAGTGGGCCCCACAGCAACCTAGGGGTTCAACAAGGCAAGCCATCTAATAACATTGGTGGAATTAATGCTGGCATAATTGAATTCACAGTAAAGTTAATTCAAATTTTAAGAAAGCTTGTCTCAACTACTTCTTGTTTAAAAGACACAGGGAAATGGGGCTCGGCCCTTTAAATTGTATATACACGGATTTTCTGCAGCCATTTTTGAACCAAACATGATTCATTAATAACTTTGCCAAGTACCTTGGGCGGTATTTTTAACAAGCAAATTTTGCCCATTATAGTTTATGTGGGTTTTAATTAGTTGCTCATTGCTAGCAATTTAGCAATCACAGGTATCTGTTCAATAATACAAACTAGCCTTTTTGAGTTTGTAATAAAACAATATTATTAGCAGGTGCCTCAAAGAATTATTACGATTTTATTTATTTATCATTCTTGTCTTTTCTTATTTTTATTATTATCATTATTTGGGGCGGGGGGAAGGTTCCTGTGGTTGAATGTAATGAAAAACCCATTGACTCCCCTTTCCATTGGCTGTCAACAAGCACATGAAACATTTAAAAGTAAATTAATGTTTGCATGTGTGATTATAGTCTGCTTCACAGGCGTTCTTTGTGTCACAAAAACACAAAAACGGTTATGAAGCAGACTAGTATGATAACCAATCACATTAGCGATCGAGCCACCCAGAAATAAACAAGTCATTACTTTTGTGCACATATCACTTTGCACAGCCAACTCACAAAATCCATGTCAGACGCATCAGTTTATTAGTAAACAAATCAACTAACCAATGTGATAAGACTGGTCCCAGTTGCTCAAAAGCTGGACAGCAGTTTTGCAATTGGCTTTGCTAATACTTATTTAGAGGATGTTGCTATCCAACGTTTGAAAACCGGGGAAAAAATGGGGCCTGGTGTTTTCAGACAATAAAACGAATCTTTTTTGAAATGTAACCCACACCA